GCACAACACACGCATTTTCGGGATGAAATTTAACGGCAAATCAAGCTTTTCAATTGCCCAGAGGGTGTGCTTTCGTGCGCCACCCGCGCACTGCTTGAGAGTCCTTCCCCTTCGATGCTATAATATAAAACTTATTACCAGTTTATAATAGACGAAGGCAGCGAGGGTGATTTTCGACTTGGAATAAATTAAATTGCGTCAAATTGAATTACAACGTCTTAAGTCGACAACAATTGAGATTGTTGGCAAAAACATGGCAAATTCCACTTTTTCGCATCGTGGATTGCATTGAGAGAGAGAGAGCTTCTCGTGCGGAGAAAAGAACCCTCCTGGCTTTCCGCACTCTTAACGCATTCACACACACACCTGGTGAATTTCCATGTCATAATCCGCAATGTTTCTCCCATATTGTGCCTCATACAGCCATTCTGAAGGGTAATTCTGATGTACGCGACAAGAAACTTGCCTTTATTTGCCTTGCTATCTTCTAATGGATGACAAGAGGGGGTGGGAAGTTTACAAAAGGGGTTCGGCGCCCACGTACACATCAAGGGAAGTGGGCGTGAAGGCGAGAGACAACTAATGAAGCCACTGGAGTGAACTTGAGATTATTTTCACAAGGGATTTTTCCCCACACAGAAATTAATGTAGAAAATGCATGAGATTCTTAATTTCTTACATGCAGGAAATAATTATGCTGAAAATTTACTTCTAAACCTAGAAAATCTCTAAATATTATATTCGATAAATGATTATCAGCGTATAATGCGGATAATGTGTGTTCTTGAGGCATTATTGCGTCACTCCTTAACAATTTGATAAGGAATTTGGTTAATTTCATGTGCCATTTTCAAACGAGCGATAAAATTTGCGCAATTCTCACAAAGAATTTCCACTTTTCCACCTTCATACGTTGGGTAGAAAATGACTCTTGACTAATTCCTCAGCCGCACTTTAATGCTCAAAACTCTCGTCGCTAAAGTGCGTTGTAATTTGCAACCGGAAAATATTTCTACTCATACGTTTCCGTTGTGTTTGCCGAGTGAAAAAAAAAACATGGAAAATGCGTTATTAATTAACTGGCCTCATATTTTACGCGGACTCGAGGGACGAAAGCCATTGACATGTTTACGACGACAAAAGCCTTTCGGGGACCATCACGGGAAATATACTGCTGTGGACTTGAGAAGAGTTTCCGCACAAGGCTTGATAATTATTTATGGCCATCTGGAGCGACTATGATGTCGGCTTCGCCAAGTTGTGAAAAGTATATTTCCTTGTAATTCTCAGCACACTGTGAATATTTGCTCGACTTGCAGTGGAAGAAGTGTATTGAAAGTTTAATGGGGGTTTCCATCAAGGATCTCTTGTGAAAGTCCTCAAGATGCGAAAGGATATCCGTGTGATATGGCAACAGGGCGAGAGAGAGAGAGAGAGACGGTGATAATTCTCACTGTGAAAGTGTCAATTGAATTTCGCTGTATTTCTCATATTTCCACTAAGAGTTCTTCACTGTGCTGAGTGTTGGGAAAATACATAAAATACAGGGAAGAATTATTTTTAGCATTTTAAATAACTTAGATCAAGACTTATATGATCGAAAACTTCCATTAGATAGTTTATGAATATACAAAATCAATTATATCAACAGAAATCAATATGTGATTGAAATGGATGAAAATGCTTTAATAATAAAATTTTCATCAAACTTTCACCAAGAATCTCTCAACAAAGTCCAGACAATGCTTTTTTCAATTCAATGAATTTTGAACAATATTTTATTAGCACAACTTTTCTGCAAATATCCGAGAGGGAGAGAGAGTTTTGAAATTAAAATTGAAATTGATGGAGTTTGAAAGGAAAAAAAAAGAATGCTGTGCATAGTTTTTGTAATCTATGAGACAGGATTTTCATTCCACAGGTGACAACAGCAGCACTTGTGCAGTTTATTTGAGTTGTGGCGTAATTTTTCCGCTTAGCTCGCAGGAAAAGCTTCACGGAAGCACTCAGTGTTGCGGGTGTTGTGCTGCGAAAGTTTTACATCCCAGAGAGAAATAAATGTCCGGCTAGAGGGAGGACAAAAGCAGTGGGTGAGATGGCATGAAGAGCGGGGGAAGTGTTGAGAATGAAACATATCCTGCGGATATTTTTAAACGGATAATTCTTCAACTGTCTCAGCAATGAATGAAGCACGAGATTTGCCGCGTGGATGAATAATAGATCCAATAATCTATGCGCCTTTATGAGTTGAGCTGGTGAGAAACAATTCAGCCAGTGTAAACCTGATCGACTGTGAATTAACTTCATTCACTATTCACCCAGGGTGTGAGAGGAGGGGTGTTTTGTGGGTGGAAAGCTCAAAGCTCGTTAGAAGTTGAATGGAGTGTTTGGCGAAGAGCTCTCCGGGCAAACATTCAACGAGGTCGAATTATCTAAAAGAAGCACTTAAATATTTTCATGAATCCACTGGGGGATTTTTGGCGGGAGTGTGAAATGTGTGAGCAGACTTCGTGATCAGGCGAGTGTGCGATAGTCATAATCCCGCGTGTCGACATCATTATCATAATACGGCGTATGCGTGGCTTCCTCGCTGGAATTTACTCATCATCCCCATGAATGCGGAATCCTGCCTCGGCGTGTTTGCATCCTAATGATGGTGCACAAAATTGCCGGAGAAAAATCCCAGTGAGTTGAAATTGGATTTACACATTCTCCCCATCTCCTTTACATGTATGATACACTCGACTTATGTTGCCAAAGAGATGCCATTTGGCGTCCAAATGGAATGAAATCATACAGATAATCGTGAAATATTTAACCACTGACTTTTTCCACTTCTGACTCAGAAGCCTCTTGTGTTGTACTCTGGAGAAAGTTAAGCAGAATCTCGTGTGAAAATGTGAATCATGTGTTATTTGTATGAATGAATCTGACGGTATATTATTGAAAGATTTATTCACACGTTCCTCTCAACTGCCACTCTTCCGGCACAGCAAACCCACGCAGTTTATGAGATGAAAGCTCACCTTGAGGAGGAAATGTGATAAATTTTTAAGGCTCTTTCAAACTATAACACCACATGAACCATCATCATTCTCATGACAGCTTCCATCACTGTTTTGTAAGTCGCCCAGCGACTCATTTCTCTTGTACACAGTGTCACAGCGGCAACACAATGAGAAGTGACAAAAATGGGTGGGTTTCTCGAAGAAGAGAGAGAGAGAGAGAGTGAGACTGAGAGCCAGGGGCTAATCGCTGGGATTTACTGAACAAAACCATGGGATTTTCCATGAATTGACTTCCATTTAATTCAAGAGAAAAGCCACTTTTGCTTCCATAAATTATGCAAGACATAAAATTTCTCCCTGATAGAAAAAAGAACAGGATACACAATTTTCGGCTGATTCACCCTTGCTTTGCGGATGAGATTTCATACATGTCACTTGAAATGGGAGTTTCACCCATCCTCACGTCCTCGATGGCCCCTTTTTTCCACCCACCACACTGTCTCATCCATCCAGAGAACAGCATTTTGCATTCGTCTTGCCCTGAAGGAGAGAAAAAGTGAACGACAACATAAAAGGATGTTTTCTCATTTTGATTCATGTACATATGTACATACGAGCATAAAAGCTCATGAAACGTGGGAAATAGGAGCAAGAAATATATATGCTTGGCATGGGATTTTTACCACAGAGCCTTGAGTTTACATGTGTATCTTTTTCCCCGGGACAAAACTCCCTAATTACACCGATTCATAATTAATTAAAATTCCATCCATTTTTCAACATTTCTTTTTTGCTCCTTAAATTCACCTTTAATTTCCATATTTCCCCGGAATCTCTAAAGGACACTTCGCCCCCATATAATGGCCAGAAGGTGAAAAGGCAGTCGTCTGAATGCCAAATGTTGTATATTATTTGTCTTTGTGGATCATCTGCCGCCCACATTTGACATTTTCTCACACCCTCGAGAGAGCTTTGATTTTGCAGAGAAACTCATGCGATGGTATTTTGATGAAATTCACACAGCAAAGCACAGAGTTTTGGAATTCTATATGATTTGTATCTGAGAATGAAAGGCATTTCCAATGCTCTACTCCTGTTGCTTGCAAAACAAACTCTTGTGCGCAACATCGAACGGTCTTTTTCCCCTTGCGATGTGGGAAAAGCTCACCCTGAATGAACTCAACTTTTCACGCTCAACTCCCCCTTTTCAGGGTGACGCACTCGCTCCTGTGTAGGTGGTGGTCTTCCTGGGGTAGAAATATATGTGGGCTTCAAAGAGGTGAAATTGTCGAGTTTTTCTCCACTGAATTATTAAAAACACATATTGGGAGAAAAACATAGTGTTGAAAGAATGGGTGAAATGGGAAAAATACTCGCTTACACACCAGGCGTCTCCACTGGATACAGAAGGAATTTCACATAATTCAAATGCTGGGAAATTGGTGAAAAATAAATCATGAAGCATAATCGCTTTCATTTTATTCTCATTCCCCTAAAACATACATTACATTTTCCACCCAAAATCTTATGCACTAGCTGAAATTGCATCATTTACTTTAATGGGTGTCATTTGTGAATAATTCCACAATTGATATTTCCCCTCGAAAGCGAAAGCGCCGTCCCAAAAGTGTGAATTTTACGGAGGCTTTTTGCTACACAAAAATTCCTGCTCTCACTCTCTCTCTCTTCCGCTCTCTCTCTCCCTCTCTCTCAGTTGAGAGTGCTCCCCAGAACCTCCCACCTTGTGAGAGAACGAGCTTTCTCCTTCGGCCCACTCAGTGGAGCTCTCTCGACACGCTCTCTTTCGAATGTAGCGGGTGACACTGGAGCTTTGGCGGTGTCGAGTTAGTCAGGGAAAGCTAGAAAGCCTGAGCACAACAAGTGCGCGACGTGGTAGAGAAGAACACGGAAGTTCTTTCACTCACCAGTAGATTTTCTCCCCCCGAAAAAAAGCAGTGAATAAAACGAAGTTTTCCCCGTGCAAATTGGCAAGTTTCGGCCGCAAGTCACATACACAGGATTGATTGACCAGTGGTTGAGGAGAGAGTGGTGGTCTTTTGTGGCCGAGGGCCGTGGCCGCGAGTTATGAGCCAGCGATTAATAATCATTATGTGAGAGAGCATTATTTGGCACATGGATGAAAAATAGTGTCCCATGAAGGTGTTCAGCAGCGATGCCAAATGTGATTATGTGCGATGGTGACACGAATTCAGTGGAAATTGTGAAAGGCTAGAAGTACGTGACATGGCCCAGAAATCCATATATCTCCCCACACAATCATGCCCGATAATCACGGGTGAATTTTAATTATTCACCCACACCCACGCCCCAAACTTTTGGCCCAGGGAGGAAAAGAGCCTCGGCTTTTTTTTCCTCTTCTCAACCACTGACGAGCAGCCACAGATGGGCTGAACGTCGGAGTTGAGGAATTTCCGACGCACCACAGCAAAAGTTGAAGAGACGCACCAAAAGCTTAATTAGTTATTCGTGTCTTTTGTGAACTTGAATGATATTTTTGTTGAGCTTCTCTCATTTTTTCCATCATCAATTCACTCTCTCTCGTCTCTCTTCCTTCTCTCTTTTCACTTCACCCTCGGGTTTTCTTCCACATTCCTTATTTCCACTCACTTGAGCAGCAAATGAGTGAAATGGCAAAGTGAAAAGAGGTGACAGAAAAGAATGAGTTGCCTGAGAAAGGCGGCATAGAGATGCTGGGGAGATGGAAGAGAATGAAGCAAATTAATTATTAAACTCATTTTTCAAATTGAAATTTCACTCCCGCCCCTCTGGGCTTACAAAAAAGAACTTTTGTTTTCGCTGTGATAATCCCAGGGAGAAAAATATTCACTGACCATTAACATCAACCCGAGCCGAGGGGTGTAAATCAGAATAGCCAACTTCGGTTATTACTCTTCTTTCGTTTCAACTCTTCTTTTCTCACAAAAAAAAATCTTTTGAGATGATTTGGGGAAATTCGTAGAATACGGAGCAAAAAATAATTCTCTATAGAAAGTCTAAAAATATATTCTGATGGTGAGTTTAAAAATAAGGAAATTCAACAAAAAATAGACACCCCTCAGACGGAACCCTTTTTTTGAAAAATAGCCCAGCTTCAACTGACGCAAGCATTTTCCGCGAGTGTTGGAAATTGTGCCCCACGAAGCTTCTGGGGATTATTTTTGTCATTGCGTTAATTATTTCAGAGGCGGAAGGTCGGAGCACTTTGCACCATTGGCCGACCTCAGTGGCTAAATTGCCCATTTCTCCCATCAGCAGCACGCTGTGGCAGATCTAATCGCGGCGATGCTGCCAGTGATGAAAAAAAAGTGGAGCACAAGGTGGATCAATTAGAGTGTGAATTGAGCGTCCAATAATCCGATTTTGCGTCTTTCGCCGCCCTCGGGCTCGGACGGTGGGGTAAGCGAGGGTGATTATCAGGCGTTGTGTGTGCGCGAATGAGGTTTGTTAATAATTAATTGTGAAAGTAATATTGCAGTGCCCGGTAGTTGGTTCATAAACAGAGCAAATTATCTGAATGGAATTATAGTGCATCCCCACATGAGCGTGCAGTGAAGTTTACACGTGGATTTCAAGCGTGAATATAGTGGCCAGAATCACATACAAAAAGCCCTCCCCAGAACCATCAGCAGAATGCCAAAATTAGTAGTGCAGAAATTTTGGATAACTCTTTGTGGATTTATGTTAATTTTGATGAATCACAGAACAAGTGAGTTTAATTACCATGATATTATTTCAACCAATTATTGCATTCGCGGTGCCATTTGCTCACGGCGCTCAATGTTGGCGTGCAATGTTTTTCGGTGGTGCATCACTAAAAATGATTTCCCGTATCAATTTCATTTTATGCGGGAGGAACAGAGTCATCACACTGGCGACCCTCCTTTATGACCCCAACTGGGTGATGTATTCACACAGGAATTTTAGCCCAGAGAACATAATCAAATCCCGTCAAATGTGTGTGTCTGTGTGTGCTTTTCAGTTGAAAATTTTCCACTCTGCACATATAGTTCGAGGCGCATTTGAATGCATTTGCATTGCGAAGTTCGCAATGTGAGCTTCAACGGATTTATTTTATGTAATAAAACTTCACACAGCTTCTCCAATACGCCGCCGAGGATACAGACCAAGTCCCAGAACATGTTGGAAAATGAACAGAACAGCGATTTCACTGATTGTGGATGATAATGAAGCGGCATTCGCTCGAAACAGTTCCAATTTATTAATCTTGTGCTGTACGTTTCAATTCCAATTTGTATACTAATGACTGTTTTTGGAACATTGAAAGCTTTGATATTATTTTGCACTTCATCTGGGAATATTTATGAGCTCAATTGTAGAAATTACTCTGTGTTTCAAAGTAGTTACAATTGATGAAACTTAGCTGGGGTTATGTTTAATCAGGCAATACAATATTGTTTGCATTTCTGATAATACCTTTAATACTATATTAAATAGCTATAAAGATCAATGCACGCAAATTGATTACAAATTCTAAATTACCTCCGAAAGCCATGATTGGAAGGATAAGTCTTTAATCGTCGCTGAATTCAATCAAAACACTTCATCATGGCGCAATAATATACAAACAATAGTCCAGAAACCTGTTGGTTCCACATCAATAGCCGATAAATCATAGGGAATTCTAATCAATAAACAAGTGGGCTAAAAGCCAAAACGAGCATAGTTAAACCATCTACTTTTGTCATGAGTCCGTTGAAAGCATTTCAAACAACCACCGTGATCACTGATAAAATTCCACTCAAATCCAGAGAATCCTCCTGAAATGACTGTCCCAGCGAGACTCGATGTAAATCAATCCTATTGATTTTCTGCCATTGTCCGACGCCCACGTTTTGAAACACGTTCCTCAGTCGCTCTGGTCAAAAATGCGAGGAAAGTCGCCATGAAAAAAACATGTCCATCACGCTTGAGAGAGTGCTGTGAAGGTCTTGTATTAAATTTGAATTTTATTCACAGCTGCACTACATATTTCATCATCCCCGAGTATTATATTCCACCTTTGCCAATGCTAAACATAGAAGGCATACCTTTCTGCATACAATAAAAATCCATCTCTCGAATCCGCGAAAATCAGGGCACGAGTTTGCTTCCTCCCAAAAACCATGGCATTTGAATTGTGTGTTATTTTGGGAGACTGCTGGGAAACATATCTTCATAAATTATTCAAAAACACACACGTTGAGGTACAGTGGATGGGAAATGAAGGAGAGCGTATACACATTAAATTCTTCTCAAACATCGGAGAGGACATGAAAATGCCAAAAGCTTTCACGGATGTTTGGATAACAAATGAAAGTTTGAAAAAACCACGCCAAAAGAGTGGTTTTCCGTCTTCTCAGAGCCTGAGAGCGGAAGGAAGTAGTTGCGAGCATGACTTTTCACTGTCGCGGTCGGGAAAATGCCAGAGATGAGTGCTGAAGATGAGGTCAAAATTCTTGTACAAAACTGAGAGAATATTGCAATTTATTTTTTAGAATCCCTTGCAGTCTATTTAAAGTTCAAATATATGTCTAAATCAGGTGCGAAGCACTTGAAAACTTCAGGTTTATGAGTGGTTTTTGAAGAAGTTGAGAAAATTTTCGTCAAACTTTCTCTACTTGTCGTGATTAGTTTGTTATCTCGAGACTAAATCACGACAAAAACAAGCTTTATATTTAAAAGAGATGAAAATAATAAATCTTGTAATATTTTTTCCGTATCCTCGCATATCCTTTTGCTGTTTTTCCTTGGTTTTCTCCCCCCTGAAGCAAGCCTATAAAAAATAAAATCACTTCACTTAATCATGTTTCCAATCCGGAATTCCTCAGACTCCTTTTCGCAAATTCCATGGAGTATTTTACAACAGTGCTAGAGATTCACGAAAGAGCGCCTATCAGCGTGTGGAAATGTGATTGAAAAATGTAATAAGACTCTCTTTTGTCGCATGATGGGAAGAGAATTACTTTGGCAAATAACTCCACGCACAGTCGCGAGGCGTGGGAAAAGACGAAGGTGGATTTATTTAATTCGGAAATAATGATGCGAAACATGTGCAAAATTTCATGAAATCGATTCAGCAATTCATTGGGCTGAGTGGGTGGCGAAAGACATCTCCCCCATCATTGGTGATAATTTGATCATTTAAAATTTTCTCCGCTTCTCACTTTTCATATCACTTGCTCTTATCTGCGATGAATTTTTCCTCAGTGTCGTGTCATTTAAACACTTATGGCACGAGTGGCAATTTTTCAAAAGTGGATTCATCAACCGAGGGGCGAAAGTACCCGCAAAATGCAAATTCACCCACAATTTTGTATGCAATAAGGAGGTGAAGAGATAAATCTCTATTAATGTTTAATGCATTTTCTTATGCATAAATTTGCCGAGAAGAAGTCAATGGGTAAAATTTCCCACTCAAGGAATCAACTTGAAGAGCGTCTTTTGAGCGGCAAACCCCTTGGATGCCAAGTTCTCATCATTGATCGTATTGATGATAATTTTCATCGTGCCTTCCTCTTCACTTTATCACTCTCCGGGAACTTTTCCCCCGCGGGCTTTGCCACCCCATGGGCTGAACGAGGGAGGGAAAAAAAATATATTCATCGACGTGGGGAGTTTTCAAACACAAAATTCCATGTGGGTGGATTTTGTGGGTCAGAAGTGGAAAGTGGGGTGTGGTGTGAGGCGGGAAATCAAGTCAGGAAAAGCCACGCAACATCTTGAGTGTCGAACTGAAGGGGCGGAGCGGAAGAAAGAATGAGATGAAGTGAATTTGAGTCATTTCAGCCCCTGAGCACATTTATTCTGGTTGCTATCAAATATTTGTCTATTCTTGCTCGCGACATATTTGCTCGGCATAGATGGGAAAATCTTATCAACGCCCCCCACCCTTGAGGATCACCCTCACTCCCCTGTCTTCACCGCCATGGGGATACAGCATGTAGTAAATTACTTGTCACAAAGACTTTCATTTATATACAACTTCCGCCCTTCACTTTGTCACATTGAGTGGGGATATTTTGTCGTATATTTCTTTTCTATGGAGCAAAAGCAGTGCCCGGAGCGGAGAAATTATCTACTATAGATTAACGCTATTTGATGAGGCCACCTGATGTTGTTCCTTCGCCCACCACCCACTGATATCTCAATGGGACTCTATTGATTCCCATTTAATTGAGGCATGAGCTTTGTGCCATCGAGTCCACGCATGCTGAAGGGATTGTCACACTAGCAGCAAATGCTCCCAATCAATTATTCACCTTGGCTCACGAGAAATTACTTGTCATACAGTAAATATTGCCCCCCTCCCACCCCTCAGTTGCTGTGGATGTGATGTGGAAAAATTGAAATTTGAAATTCCATTTGCATGTAATCTCCTCTAATTCCACAGAACATGCCAAGGATGATGTCGATGTTGTCTTACGGAGAAACACACCTCAAACCACCCTAACTCCCTCTCAGCCCGTGGCAAATCCATCCGATGGATTTCCTAACGATACAGGGAAATATCGAGGTGGGAATATTCAACAGGGAGAAATCAATACTAATACACCAATTAAATTACGGCATGGAAAAGCCTTCTGCCTCAAGTAAGGCATCGCAGTCAAGGAGGCAATAGTACATGGTTGTTAAATTGTATTACGTTGCTGGATTTATCATTTTATATATGGTAATCCAATTCAATCCAAGCGATCTAACAATTGTGTATTTTCACAATCATCAATAAAACACGAGGAGATTAAGCTGGTGGGAAATAGAAATCAACTCAATTCCATAATTAATGACTTTGTCATTTCCATCCTCTCATTCTGCCTTCACTACACTTCGAACACTGATAGAAAATATCCATCAAGAGTCTAATTTAATTAAATTAGGCACGATGAAAGCACTGTTTTTCCGTGAATTGTATTTCTATCGAGAGTATGTTCAAATTACATTTATATTTTACCCCATACAATTATTCCTACTATAAAGTATTGATGAAGGGGGTTTTAAATCGACCTTCATAAGTCATGAGAAATGGCGCTTTTTCTCTGTTCTCTAGAACACCTTTTTGAGAAACAACTTACATATGAATGTCCCTGAGTGAGGGAGCGTTTTCACGGGGGTGAGAAAAAGGCAGCCAAACGGGCACTCGGTATTGATTTTGTATATCGAAGTAATATTCTCCACTCCTTGAAAGTCCTTCCCCGCTCGTGCTCGGGAAAAGTATCAAATGGAAGTTACATGTGGGTAATATCGGAGCAGAAACGTGCATTATTAACTTATTGAATAAGTCAATAGCTAACGGCGAAGGCTGCGTAAGTGAAAAACAGTGAGGAAGAATCCTCAATGCGTCCTTCGCATTAATTTTCCCGCGAATTTCAATTATATCTCATTCATTCTTTTCATGTGCAGTTTGGCGGAATAAATTTTGAAATTATGTACAGTAAAAAGTGTGTGTGTTTATATACGCTGAGGAATGCGGTGTGACTTCTTGGGGCAAAAGAAGTTCCATAGTGTGTTTTTGTCAAAAGTTTTGTGTGCTTGCGCGGGTGGGAAAAAGTCAAGTGAGATTATGGCTTGGGCACAGAAATATATACACAAAGAAAATGGGCACAAAAAGCCGCATTGTTGGGCGCTTCTTATGGCAACATTATTCTGATTTCACTCTCTTTTTGGACAAAAAATTACAGAGTCAAATAAATTTTGAATGCTTTCACTGCA